CCGGTGCGGATATACACTCAGAGTAACATCACAAGCATCTTGTTCACCTGAGTACACTACACCAACACAGCAAATATCAAAATCTATTTGTTGACATTTTTGTTTAATTAATATGTCAGCTTCAGATGACACCACTCATTGTACTCAGTTCAGAACCGCAAATCTATATAATAGGAAAGAAATTGTGAGCATTATCGAAGAATATAGCAAACGCAGAAATGTAGTCAGGGACGCCGGAACTGGGGGGGGGCAGGGGGGGGGCGGCTGCCCCCCTTGCCTTTTGCTAGGGGGAGCAGGGGGGGGCAGAAGTGCCCTTTTAGTTGTAAAATAATGCGTGATAAATCACATTTCCAACGATGCTTTTTGTAGGAAAATCACGAGATTCAGGTAATTTATAGTTTATATTTATAAAAATTTTGGGAAATTTTTAGAATTTAGAAAAATATTTTGAAGAAATGGCGAAAATTTAAGATATCCGGAAAAATTTTTGGCTTCACGGAAAATTTTTGTATGTCTGGAAAAAGTTTTTGACCCCTAAAATGGTACACTGACCGAAATTTTTTTGGCAACGGGGGGGAGGGTCGCCAAAAAATTTTGCAGTGAAAGAAATTTTTCAGTAAACGTGCCCTTCGTGTGCGTCCGCCCCCCTTTGCCCTATTATCGTTCCGGCGTCCCTGAATGTAGTGACACAGCCACAGAATGTATGAGTATAGGTCGGTAGGATTATTTCATATTATGTTAACAAAAGGACATGTCTCAGAGATATAAACAGGCCATCAGTCATCCAGGCATCATACCTTGTACAAAAGTCGGTCAATATGCTATTTACATGTAACTGCCGGTAACCCGATAAGTTAATATATACAGACAACAATCCCCACACTGGGTTGCTATAGGAATCTTATTAATATATAAAGGCCTGATTATGTGCTCAAGTAACAGTCCGCGTTTGTTACGTGCTGAAAGCACCATTGCTATTAACATCTAAAATGAATGCTATAAACTCATCGCCTTGGCACATCGCCACACAAACGAATATTAAACTCAAAGTACATTTTGACTCCTTGTATATAAAATATTAAGACATTATTGACATCATGAAATGATATATTTCAATACCTCTGCATCGAATGCTAAACTGTGCAGATGAGATCTAAATATAATGCCTCATGTATATCACCAGAAAGAAATAAAGCAGGCTTACCTGATTATTCTTTGATATTGTCGAATGTCAATCGTTTGCAAGCCATTAATCCAACATATAAACTCGTACGGTCTAGTAAAAGTTGGTAAAACTGCTTGCACAAATCAGCACGATACAAAATAATGCATGTTTGACCGCCCCCTCGTTTAAAAAAACTTCCTAAAGCTTAATCATTCCTCCCGGAAATAATCTTTACAGACAGACACAAATCGAGATCTCGACAATACATATATCGCGCGAAAGACTGGGTCGAGTGGACTCTGGATAATTCGAGCCACGTATTACACGAGCTCAATAATAATTCGAGCCCAATAATAATCACGAGCTCAATAATAATTCGAGCCACGTTTACACTATGAATGCCAAACGTTTACACTATGAGTGCCAAACGTATACCACTCCGTTATAGTGTAAACACAATACTGAGAAACCTAGTGAAGTTTTATTTTTGACGAAATTGATTTGTATTCAGAGTGGCAAATGTAGTGGTCCGTAGTTAGGACGCTACGACAAACCAGTCCGTTATAGTGTAAACACAATATAGTCTCAACACTGCTGAGAAACGTAGTAAATTTTTAACGGAGTTGTTAACCCTAGCGCCACAGTGTAAACGCGGCCTTAATTAGCAATATATTTAGGCCTACTTCGAAACCCGGACCGGACTCGGACTCAGACCCGGACTCGGACTCGAAGAAAATCCGGACTCGAGAAAAACCCGGACCCGGACTCGAAGAAAATCCGGACTCGTGTTTAACAAAACCCGGACTTGACTTTTGAAAACCCGGACTCGAAATAAGGCAAAACCGGATTCAAATCAAGGACTCTGTGTACGAAAATGCAAAGGTTTTTTGGAAAGGTTTAATAATTAGTAACATGATAAACGATGATCTCTTTATATCTTTATCTCGATATTTTTAATCTTCTGCTGTTAACAAAATAATCACTTAGATATACTGGAACCAAATCATTTAGGCACTTATATGTTATTAAAAACTAAAATGTATTGATGCACAACGATCTACAAGTAGCTAGTACGAGGGTAGCATGTTGATTGTTGATTCTCAAAATAACGTTAACTTGATTTATTGTCAAACTTCATTGTCAGTATCGAGCCGCGGTTGTATGCAAGGCATATGGGGCAATTGATGAACGCATTGCCTAACGAGAGAGTCTCAATATCAAATTTACGCCAACCATCCAACGCGAATTTCACTGTCGGCCGCGGGTGCAGGCTTGCAGCTGTTGCTTTCATTGTGATGTGTTTTCTACTGCTTTCGGATAAAGAATAATTGCGGGTGTTCAATTCATGTTTATGGACTTTATATTAACGAAATAGAGAAAATAAACGTGTTTCCAGTAGCGTCTTGTCCAACTATTTGAGAGCATGTTATAATATCAAATTTATGTCCATCCGCACAACAACGCTCGAATTACTTCACAGTCGGTATTTAGGCGCGGTTTGCCGCGATACCTTCATTGCCTTCAACATGAGATGTGCTTTTCCGGCGTTCTTTTCGATTGGTCGAAGTTATACTTTTGATTGGTTGAAATCTATAAGTTATTTTTCGTGTCATTTTGCCGATAGTGAGGTCGAATATGTTGAGGATATATTTTACCCTTGCCGCCATCGATCACGTTGAGTCTGCTATGCTGAGTCAGATTTCAGTTATTAATTTATGTCTAGGGTAGATTTAGCTACTCGCAGGAGTATGTATTTTACAAATATGTTGTGTATGGTCAGCGTGGTTAAATAAATTTTTAAATTAAGTAAGTAAGCAAGTATATGTATAAGGCTAAATGATTTGTTTAGGTAGGCTATACAGGGTGTATAAAAAAAAACTGAACAGATTTAAAATTGCTCTCAATTTCGCAAAACAGCTATTTGTATCCGGTTTTTTATATATATAGCCTCTTTGGGTACTTATAGTGTAGAATAATGAGAAAAATTTCTCGAACTCAAATTTTGTGAACCAGGGGGGGGGGGGTGTCTTTTCCAACAAACTAAAAATGGCTCGCGCACAAAATTTAAAAGCTGCAATCATATTTTGAGATAACAGATGGAAAATCTGTCGGGATTTTAATTTGACTGTACAAAATTTCAGACAATTTGGTTTAGTTTAAGCACCTTAACTATTCACGCAAAGTTACAATTTTCCCGAAAAATCAGCTATTTGCATGCTTAATTAATGCATTTGCCTAATTTGCATATGTCAGCAATATGCAAATTAGGTAAAGGCATTAATTAAGCATGCGAAATGCTGACTTTTTAGAACAAAATGAATAGTTGAAGGGCTTAAACTAAACCAAATTGTCTGAAATTTTGTACAGTAAAACCCGACAAATTGTCAATCTGTTAACTCAAAATATGATTACAGCTTTTAAATTTTGTGCGCGAGTCATTTTTATTTTGTTGGGAAAGACATCCCCCCTGGTTCATAAAATTTGAGTTCGAGAAATTTTTTTCATTATTTTACATTATAAGTACACAAAGAAGCTATATATATATAAAACCAGATACAAATAGGTGTTTTGCGAAATTGAGAGCAATTTCAAATCTGTTCAGTTTTGTTTGATACACCCTGTATAGTGATTGTTTTGTGAGGAACCATATAGTATGATAACTGATTAGTATCCTCAGATAACGCATAACACTGAGTCACTAGAAGAAAATAATATCTATATCTTTCGAAACCAAAGCTTATTGCTTTTGAAATATAATATACAAAAGCGAGAATATATACAAAAGCGAGAAGAGAAAGGGGCACCCGCGCAAGAGCACAAATCCATTTATCCGCGAGTTATTACCGATAAAACCTTTGCATTCTCGTGCACAGAGTCCTTGTTTTGAATCCGGTTTTGTCTATTTCGAGTCCGGGTTTTCAGAAGTCAAGTCCGGGTTTTGTTAAACACGAGTCCGGATTTTCTTCGAGTCCGGGTCCGGGTTTTTCTCAAGTCCGTATTTTCTTCGAGTCCGAGTCCGGGTCCGAGTCCGAGTCCGGTCCGGGTTTCGAAGTATGCCGTTTAAATCTTACCACTCGGTAAACGTCAGAAACCACACGGAAACAGATTATAAAGGTCAAATTACCCATGTAGCGTGGCCAAAGTTATGTTCAGCGAAAGGTTTTGTTGAGTAATTTGATAATTTACAATCTCGCTTGACTTTCAGAGGCCATAGATCGCTGCAATGTTGATATTGACTAAAATTATAGTATAGTAAGGAATTATAGTTGATTTTGTTTCACTGAATCGAATGGTGGTATTGTCTTCATGTAAAGGTTGGCAGCTTCTAGCGACCTACGATGCTTAGGACAAGGCGAGAAAGAGCTTTAAAATTTTATTTTGGTCGTTATAATGCGGCGAAATAGTAGAGTTAGTTTAATATTTTCTGGTTTGTCTTTTAAAATGTTGCTGTATTATGGCTAGTTTATACGGTATCTTGCTGCATACGACACAAAATGAACATTTTATATAGCCTCGATTGCATATGAACGATTAATTTACTTATTTTGAACAAAAATAGCTATACGCTATAACAATTGCCAATCATATAGGCTAACCACATAATTAATACGCAATGCGTACCTATTTTTCAAGTATATGCTTTAAACTTTCGTTTCATTTTTTTGAGTTTCAATTTTATCTTGATATTTTCAACATGATATTGACAGTTATAACATGTTGATATGAGGATTGAATATTACTTAGTGACTCGAAATAATTTTGACCGGAACGGAACGCCATACGCAGGCTAAGCACTATCACACGATGACACTTTTTTCTAAAAAATCTTAAAACAAAAATCGTAAAATTTATTCTACTTATTATATAAATATTTGTGAACAAATAGGTTAGATCGGCTATTCCATCACTCCGACTTACATTGTTATTCATAAAAGCTTTCAGGCCCTTGATAATTTCATGTTGAATTTTATGGTGTGTTGGACCAGTTCTATAGGGAAAAAGTACATATTTCTCACTATTGTTTGATAGTACTAATGTGCATTATTGTTTCACAATTGATAGTACTGTACATTGTTTGATAGTACTGTGCATTGTTTGATAGTACCGTGCATTGTTTGATATATACTGTGCCCTGTTTAATAGTACTGTACACTGTTCGATAGTACACTGCACAAAGTTAGAAGTGATATATGAACAACGAG